TACATATATAATCATTATCAACTGGAATACCCTGAAATTAATGACGTCCATCGTATTCATCACCAATTTTGTGATCATCTATCAGAACGATGTGTTTAATTTATAAGTGTTTAATTTAATCGATCGGAACTAGTTTCGATGCTTTTCAAAGCTGTTAATGAATTCGAATAAATAATTTCACTGAGTATTTTTGGTTGAGGCAATACGAGGTACAAATTGTTTTTAACAGATTGTTGACTACTGATAGGTTTAAACTTTTCAAAATCTAATGAACACTAACAACAGTGATTGACCGATTAATAGTATTTCAGCTGGATTTTCCGTCATTATCTTCCAATGCTTCTCGATCAATCGCATCCTAACAGAGTGTGAAAGAACTGTTGATTGTACAAATGAAGCTTGTTTCAGAAAAATGGTACCATTCGCTGAATATATTATTTTCAAACGTAATGTTTTTATTGGAGACAGAGTTGCGAAGTCATAAGCATCCTAGGTGCTTCATAGAATAGGATGTTATTTTAAGTAAAGGACATTTTTTTGCTAAATATCAATAAAGGTAGACAGTAATTACTTCCTGAATGGCAAGATTCAAGATGCAACAGAGTCCATTGACTGCACACATACAGTTGAGAATTTGGTTTTGGTATCCTGTTATACATATTCTACTTGACCTCAGTTGTTTATGAAGCTCAAAACAAGTGTTTGAAGTTCGAATAATTTCTGTGCATTATTTCATCAGAACGCCTCATTCTAAATTTTGGTCAGCAGTAATAAAGTTTGATATTGATGCGTTCATGGATGTAACGTTACACATCGGAAATTCAAGCATTATTGTAACACCTGAACTCTATTTACAGTTGCATTCTTTACCGTAAATCACTAGTAAGTTGCTCCAAATGAATATAAAGCCTATGTTGATCAAAACTACATTATTTTCAGAAGTATAATACCATATTCAAGCTATCTGTTATCCTCAGGTTTGCTCAGTACCGCAATAATTTCTTCACATTATCTCTGCTGTCGAAAAAGTGCACATGTTATCAATGAATAATACCAAATTCTAGAAATTTAGCTAGGTTTCTAAATGTGTATCATTACAAATTCAACTTCTGTAGATTCGACCTCTATGCTGATCATCAATCAGTGCACCACTGTAGAATTCTATGGAACGTGGACTGCAGGCAACTCTTCTTCCAGTTTTGGGCAAACAGCTGGCACAGTGCGTATTCAAATGTTCAATACTTTTTGGTATATTTGAAATGCGATTCCGTCGACAATTTCGGATTAGTTAATAAAAAGAACGCAGAAGAATTATTCTATCTTCAATAGCTGTGATATTAATTTGATCGAGACAATTTCACACGAAAAAGTTGACAAATTATTTCTGTTGGCGACAGTACATGATTAATTTGATTACGAGATGAAAAATTATACGGTTGAATAGTAATTCGAATGTTTGCATTGTGCGAATTACTGATGGGTATCCATTGATACTGTGATTATGTGAGTGGATGTAATATGATATTACTAATTCAAGAACAAACCGTTTAGTTTATTAGTAAACGGACGCAGAATATAACATATGTTATATAGATACAGAATAGTGGGTCGCTTTGAATTAAATTATTTTTTGATAGGAAATACTGTAAACGAAATAATTGTCGTTTGATGATGAACTGGAGAGGACGAGCCGAATGAAATGAGTATACAAAATGGGATCATGAGATAAGGAATGTCGATCATAAATGAATTTCCAGATGAACATGCAACAATAATGTCAAGTGGTCCTCAGATCACTGTTCGAATTCGTCGAAGTTATCGACAAGACGAGAAGATGATGACGGCGATGACGAACGTTTACCGAATCTCATCCACTTCACGTTCGGTGCCCTCTTACCAAAACGCATCCATTTAACACTTGGTGATCGTTTACCAAATCGCATCCATTTCATATTGGATGCACGGATCGCTCGATTCATATCATCCTTCAATTTTTCTTCATTAACATCTACCGTTCACAATCAGTTCATGACAAAATGAATCAACATTCAACTACTGCCTATGATTTCTGAATGCTTTTTTTATTTGAATTTCATTCAGTAGTGACAATAATAACACTGTGACATTGTTTAAAACAAAGTGACGTGCTAATTTGCTAGTGCATTTTCAGTTGTTATAAAATAATTGCAGGACCTGTTTGAGTAACATTCATTTATTAATTTCCTCTATCACAGCAGATTCATGATTCACTGATAAGAGTAGATAAAAATTTGCATAACAAATCAACAGTAATGATTGAAATATCAATGAAATCATAAGTTTAGTTTAGTTCTTGTTCTAAGCGAAGCATTTGAAGTTTATAAACTAACCGGAAATTACTGTGAAAAATGGAAAAAAAACGAAAGCATCCGCTTGCAGATGAGGTTCATAGAAATTTGCTTTGACTTGTCTAATTTTGAAGTACAAGTCCCGAAGCTACATACTAATTATGTTGCAAGAACGTAGAGATGAGCTCATTTAATCAATGCCTAATGAAATGAGAAGCAATTAAAGCGACACAACGATGATGATCAGCAACAAAATTAAAACAAGATGATGAGATGAAAACAAAAAGCATAATGAGAAAATGAGATGAATTACTGTCATAAACTCGTTAGATTTTGAAGTGATATTGATTTCGTGATCTTAAAGAATTTGTGAAGCGTATTCATCCACCATTACGGTGGCCGTAAAGCCGCATTTGGAAGGCAAGAGTGCTACCGCGTCGACTGTGCTGCATAAATGTGGTCGTCAAATTCGATGGATTTACAGCCTGACCATGTCAGTCATGTCAATTTTCGGCCTCTCAAAGAAAACGAATCACATAAAACTACTCTTTCTCAGTGTTTAGTTGAATCAAATTTTCAGTAGTATTTATTCAGCAATAAATAATCAAACTGCTGTCTTTTTAATGACATCACAAAAAAATTCTTTTACACCAGTTCGATCACCTATTGCATTTGTTTTGAATTTCATCTTCTATTGGAACAAGGCTTTCATCTTTTCAAAACGAACGGTCCATCCTGAATCGATGAAACGCAACGAAACTGTGACCTATCAGACTGATATACTCAACAAAACAGATGAAGAGTATGAGAGCTGTTCAACGCTTAGCATTCGGAAACGGTAGTATAACGAGCGAACAAATGAGCAGCTTCGGACAATTGTTTATGGGTGCGAAAAGAAATAAAAATAGATGGGAATACGAAATTGATATGGCATTTAAAAAGAAAAGAAGTTCGCATCTTACATCGTTGCCATCATACAATGGCTGTGCAGTTGTAGCAAGCAGAAACGCAATCAGTAACGAAAACAGCAATGTGATATATGCGCCGTTCATTGAGTCGACTTGTCCTCTATTGCCTACCGAAATTAAAATATGGTTCATTTAAGACATCACATTGAAATCAAAACATCACTAGCGAGTGAAATCGTTTCGTGATAAAACTCATTGTGAGCATACGGAATCGTAATATAAACGTTCTCTTTGAAAACTGTAACAAGCATTGCTAACAAATAGGTCGTTAATCACACAAGACTTAATCAATTGTACCAATTCACTGTTCGACATCTGAAAGAATGGCTGAAAGGATCGGGTGCAAAGAGATTTTTTGGGCTCTTAATATGTCATAGAAGTGAGATTTGTACAATTTACAAATAGTATCCACTGAAAACAATGACACTATCTAGTAAGTTTTTCTTGCAATTGTTGGATATTTGAAGTTTACATTTCATAAGGACCGACCGCTATATATGCGTAAATAATGTCAGTTTCAAGCACATTTAAATTTGGAAATTAAAAACACGTCATTGAAGGATAGATAACGTGGACCAACGAAACGACTCAGTAATCGCTTTGTTGAGTTCGTTCGTCACAATGATTAATCACTTGTGATGAAGAGCTGATGGGCAATTGCATACTGGGTAAATGATAGCTGAGAGGTGAAGTTCGGAGGACTGCTTGATTGTGAACGAAAGGAATGACGAGTTAATGTAGTCTGAAAAATTGGAGATGGGCAACAGATATATAATGTAAGGGTGGAATTTACATAAACTTGTTTGAGTACGATGGTCACCATGAGGTAAATGATGAAGGAAACCGCTGAACGGCACATGGCGTCGTCGCTTAAAATGAGCCAACAAGAGTAACAAGCCCAAGCAACGAACGATAATCATATTTGTCTGATGCTTAAAGCTCAAGCTAGCCCCACCCATTCCGAAGATGACAACTGTTGAAATTTGTGAGTGAGAAGCGAAGCATCATCTATAAGGGTCGTCGAAACAGCAATTTCGGTGGTAATTTAGTTGGTGGGTAGCAATGTTAAAAGGCACATGAGTGGTTTAAGATGGTAATGATGCATCAATTGAATCGCTCTTCAGAAAGATGCATTCGAGAATTCACGATTACAATTGCACATTACGAAAACAATATGCGTTGTTCATGCTCAGATTATTACTTCATTTATTTGCGTTTCTTCTCGAAAGAATATGACATGCAGCTTTCACTTTATCAACTTGTGACTGTAACATCATATGCAATTCTCTCTGATACATACTTCAGTCAGACTCGTTCGTAACAATGTCGTGATATGGAAACGATTATCGTTCTCATTTAATTCATGAGCGATACGAGAATGCCTTGGAAAGTTCAATCTTGTAGAAGGAATGAAATGATAAGATGAGGATAAAAGCAATGAAATGAAAAGAATGATTTGGCTGACTCAAGATTATGATTTAGTCGCACGGGCCATTGCGTTTAATGTGTGCCTGCTTTCACTCGATGAATATGAATATAAAGATGCGATTATGAATTGGTTTCTTTCATTCCATTTTATCTTTACTGAATTTCATTTACAGTAACCATCCTCTTCACTGAAAATATTGTTCATCTTCAATTGATGATGAGCTCTTGCCTAACGAATATTCACAATTTTCCACGGGTCTTTCTTGCCAGGAACTGCTTGCTTAACTTTTCACTGCATCCATAAATCGTTCACTTCCTACTCCCAACATCATCAGCACAACTTGTTCAAAGTGTGCGTCTACCTATCAGCTACTTAATTGATCATACAAATTTTTTTCAATTCATTTTTCAAAAGAAAAGTCAAAAATAAGAACTTATGCTGTTTTGCATAAATGACTTTCAAAACTTTGATTTGAATCTTAATAATCGTTTAACGTGTTGAGAATGTGCTAAAATTTGTAAGTGCGTATAGGGCTATCGAATTGTGGAGTATGTGCAACATTTATCATGCTAGTTCAACTTCCGTAATTGAAATGCATTTTACAAAACAAGCAATAAAAGCAAACTCAAACGAAATCAATAATAATAATAATAATAATAATAATAATAATAATAAGGGCATTGCATGTCCAATTTTGATAATAAAGAAATGAATTAGAACAAGTAACAGCTATAAACGAAGAAAAAGCAGTTCATATGTTGTATGTTCATGAGCCTAGAAAAGAGCTTTAAGAAACTTCTCGGAATGAATGAGTTGGATAGAACACACGGAAACATCATTAATGGTTGGAAACGAGTTGGAACAAAGACCTTATTTGAAATTTTTGACCTTCTGAAAGCGTTTACATGTATCACATAAAGCATTCAAGTATGTTGGCATTCAATTAATAGGTAATGAATAAGAAAAAAAATGGTATATGATGTATGTAACCGCGTTTATTTTCACACGCTTTTGAAGTAATCGCTCAACGATCTTAACACCTTCGTTTACCTACCTCAACATCAAGCTGTCTTCTCTAATGAGAATTACATCCATGAACCGCATCAAGTAGCCGTTCATTACATTCTGACGTTACTTAGCGTTTGTTGAACAGGGAATTGGAAATTTTGGAGTGACCAAAAGGTAATTTCGAAATCGGAAGATGATTTAGCCCACCCATATATGAAATTAGGGGTATATGGGAATGGATGTTGAATTATTGATGGATATACGATAAGACTAAGGTACCGTTGTTAGGTGAAAGTAATATGAACAAAGCGAACTGAGATGTATTAGTTTCGAATGAATAAGTAGAAAAATGTGCATGATTGACAGTAGTAGTACACGTCACTGATGCGAAATGATTATTGCACAACCAGAGACTGTGCTTTAAGTAGATATCAATGTGATTCGTTAGTGTTCATCTGACCGCTTTTGGAAACTTTATCTAATAGTACATAGACAAGCATCTTATTTCGGAGTTCTATTCATTTGTCGAGTAGTCATTTTTTAAGAATAGTTTATTGACTTGAAGGAACACTTGTAATGGATTAGATAATGTGAAGGAGTAGCTAGTCATGTAATAATTACAGACGAATTCGATGCTCTGTGAGGAAGGGTTGGAGATGATGACACGAAACGAACCATCGAGGTATTAACTCCACGGAATATTGAACTGAAGTTTTTTGTTAAGGAATATAGGTCCGAAAACTAGCAAAAAAAGCGACGGCTACCATACCTCATTAAAAACAGTCACGGCTCGGTGGATTAAACATCCTGACTGGATTCTTTATGATCAGGGGGCACTTGATGTAAGTCAAATGGAAACATGATCTTGAAAATGATACAGCATCCCCTTGATGGAAGATTCTGATACCGAAGCCTTTTATCAACACAGCGATGCAGGACCTAAAGAATCTTTGGATAGGTGATGAGCTAGAAATCTTCTTCAACGATTTGATTTCATTATAATTATTTGTAGATGCGCTGACTTTTATTATATATAGCATCGAGTTTCGAAATTTTCTCGTGTTCGATTCTTAGGTCACATCATCACTTCAAAATAAGCAAATTCGCTCAGTGTTATTCACTTGTCTTATCATCACTCTTTTTTGTTATAGCAAAATTTTGCTAGAGAATCATTCAGACAGCGAGAAATTTTGACTAGAGAATTTATTTCCGTTGAGGCGTCCGTAAATATGTCCTTCATCCCTATGACGGCACCGATCGTTGATAAAAAGGCCAATAAGTTAAAATAAACGCGTGAACTTCTGATTAATTTGGTCAAATTAGACTCTAAATGAAGAAACAACCAAATTTCTGAATCAGAAATGAGTGCACTGTATTTCGGGATTGAGTTCGTTCGAATGAACTCGATGATATCTGATACGTCGTAATTAGGCCTTTCAATAAGCGCGTTACTTGATTAGTTGTTTGTTATGGGGCAGATTCATTAGTGTTATAAAAAAAGTGCTAATTCGCTTATAACAAATGTATCGCAATTGTGTAAAGCTGCGCTGAAACGAATAAATTAGTTAACTATTCAGCTCTTATTCAACCGCTAATGATCAAATGCTAACGGTTGTCATTTTTGTAGCGCACCGCGAACGGCAGCAAATAGATTTGAAATGATTGAGGAAGTGCTCCTTGAACGTATGCATCACAGATGTTCCTATTCTACACATCTGGTAAAACGTCCTATTCTTTTCTATTCTGCCCTTCAGTTGTTCTGTTCTGCCCGAACCTTTTTTGAGAACCGTTCTGTTCTCTTCTATTCTCATCCTCATATTTTGAGAGCTGTTCTGTCCTGTTCTCGCGCCCCGAATTTTCGAACCGTTCTGTTTTGTTCCGTTCTGCAACAGTTTTGTTCAGCGTATCCTTATTTGGAACTTTATATTTTATTCCAAGGAATAAAATAGAAAAGTTCCAAATAGTATATATGTATTTGTATGCATGTATGTCTACATCACAAGTATGCATGTGTGTATTTGTGATTGTGGTTCATCACCAGTTGGATGATAATGATTTGAAGAAGATGATATAAATTAGATCAATAAGTGAAGAGAGTGATGAAAGAATGATGAGGAAATAAGGCATATGTGATTTAGAAACGATGGATGGACGAATGGATGGTTCATGGGGAAGCAATGAGCAATGAAGCGAAGCGAGAAACTGATTTGGTGCATGCATAGATTTGATAAGAAGAAGCAGAAGAACGTCTTCGTCAAATCAGTGTGTCTTAACGTTATCCACTATACTCATTATGATCATCAAATTTCCTTTAGAAACTTTCATCGATTGAAGATGACAACACATCTTTAAATTGGGACGAAAACATGGAATGCTAAAAAGATTGAGAAATGCACTTAATCAGTGCAAGTGTCAAATGCACACTTTTCGTGATTTAACCAAGTAGTGCTTCTAAGAGATTGTTCTTCGTTTTGAAATTGTTTCTTTTCTAAGAGAATCTCTAATTGCACGACGTTCGCGATGACCTGCTCAACTTGGCGACTGTTGGATTTTCATGCGAATGAATAATTCGATGAAAGTATTGATGAAGGACAACTCTTGTTCACATAAACATTCTGAAATAAGTTACTGCGATGTCCCTCACACTGCATCTTTTCGCAGAAATAAGTATTCGATCAATTATCGTTCTTAACTGAGCTTAAAGGTGAACGAAAGACAAATCGGCTGCTCACAAGTCGTTCAAAGTCAGATATTCAAAAAATGAAGGCTTACAGCAGTTACCTGAAAAGCATTAGAATGAAATTATGCTCTTTTGAAAATGAAACCAAATATGGGAGAGAATAACTTGAAAAGCCGGTCTAATAAGTACGTTATGTTCAAATTTCTCAAAACTTTCGAAGACCAATTGCCTTATTAACGCAATACTGGATCGGTTCTCATCTCATTTTCATTCTTATAAGATATTAGAATACTTCGTTAGAATATGAATCACATCAACATGAATCACCCTTCGAATTTAATTTTCCATCCTTTCTCTGGTCAATTACCTCCTCTGAACTTTTCTGCATTACCGTCGCATTTAGTTCAGTCTGCTCTCGTCACGCGAGATTACGGTCAAATCGCATGTTGTTCTGTCGCTTGATTGTATCATTTGGAGTGCGTTCTAGCTTGTTTTTGTTTTTACAAACCGTAATTCTAATTGTGCTATGCTGAAATGAAATGTTGCGCTATCTTGATAACACTCAGATAAAATTAATGAGTAGGCACGGCCAGATGATGCAGGTGATGAAATTAGCCGAGAGACACCATATGCGGCTGATTTCAGTGGCTTATTCATGTGCATGATAAATACGCTTCACTGATTTTAAAAACAATGAATTTACAATGATTGTCATCACTCAAAGAATACGTGCGTATTTCAAATCCATTCAACAATTTTGTTTTGTTGTATTCGTGT